GAGATAATTAAGTCATTCAAGCGGAAGCGAAGGGTTTGTCAGTGTGTATGGAGGGAGAACCCGCACGTATTGCACGTATCCCTTGTTAGTCTCTTGTTAGCGAGAGTTTCCCTTGTGGGCTGTATGGCAAGAGGGCATTCCTTTTCAAAAGCACCCTTTTTTGGCGACCAGACTTACTACCTTTGCTACTCTAAACAACAACAGCACTGCCCACCACCTTTTTGTGTGTGTGCCGACACGGCTAACTAGCTCAACAACTTGAGTCGACCAAAGTAGGTCTGTTCTGTTTTCTTCAATTGGCAAAGCACACACACAGGCACACACATCAAGCTCTACCTGAATGATCGCATTAATTCAATTTTCACCATCATCACAATTGGCACACTTCATCGGATTGTACAGTGCCAGTGCAGAGAAATGTGCCAAAGGTTGCAATTTAATTGGCCCTTTCGGTCTCCTCGACTTGAGTGGCAATCGCATTTTGCAAACTCAAGTGAGCGAGGACTCCGCTGAAAACGGCACTCGGTCTCTACTTACTCGATCTTCACCCACTGTCACCATCATTGCCACTTTTGTGAGACATCACACTCTCAGGTACTTGCAACACACCTCACTAGCGCATTCAGCTGCGTATGTCAATGCGTAAATGTACGCACTAATTAGAGCCATTAGATTTCTGTTGCTGTTGTTGGTAGTACTCTGCAGGTTTGTTGGTTTGTGTTTTATTGATGACGCGCATTTTACATTCCCAACATTCCCAGTTGTTTTTCTTGCTAGACAGAAAGTTTTTGCTAGAATCTGACAGAATCATTAGGATAAAATTAACGGCATTTCTTTTTCTTGCTAACTCGGCGTTGGTGTAACTTTGCTTACCTGAGAGACACATCGTGCAAATTAATCTTATTGTGCTAATTATTGCCTTATGCCCATTGTTGACTTTGATGAATACTTTCTCATTTATTATTGATTGACTTACACTTATTACCTCTCCTTCTAATGCTTTTTGTTTTTTTCAAACTGTGAACACAAACAGGGTTTTAGTGAGCATAATCAAAGCTGGCAATATGATGCCCTCAGAGCAACCAAATGGGCACAAAAAACAATTACCTAGTCTATGACAATTATCACTTCCAGCCAGTTTAACAATTCTATTACTTTATTCTTTTTATTCTTCTGCAATGTACATAAAAGAACAAAAATCAACAACAAATTGAGTCATCATTCATCATCCACAGACAGGTGTGAAATTTCTAAGGATACACTCAAGCGAATGATTGATACAAAAACAGTACTTTTTTATTGTTAACCTAGTTGTGTCTTACTTTGCATATTGAGCGCAACTTTCGATTTGACACACTTTAAATTTGGGTTTTCACTGGTTGCTTTTTACTAAAGCATTGCACGTTTCATTGTTCACAGTTTAATCGCAATAATTCAAATTCAAATTTTTTGTTCTGTTTGTCTTTGTGTTCCAGTCTCGCTTCATTTCTCAGGAGACGCTCATTTGACCGTTTGCTTTAGGTGTCTGAGAAAATAATGCACACAAAGAGCCTCCATCACCATACTCACTGCTTCATCTGAACAAGTGTTTCCGTTCTGACAGATTGAACATTTCAATTTGTGGCGTTTTACCTTTTTCATTTCTCGACAAAGCACCAACGTGATCTCCATTTATATTGGCGTCCACACCACAAAGAAGCCTTCCTTTGCCGGTACACTGCTCTTTGATCATATCAGCTTTCATTTTTAGCTAAAAAACATTTTATTTCTACAATTGAAGGTTCCTAATTCAAGGTGTACAGTGTTTTTGTTGAGCAATGTGATTGTTTTGTGTTGTCGTTGCTGTTCTGTTGCCCTACTTACCGCCACTCAAGTGGGTTTCCTTCCTCACGGGCACATTATCACTGTTTTCGTTAATTTTTAATTTTTATATATCAAACAGTCTTTAGTGGTTTTCGTCGATTGCCACCATTTAATGTTTGTGTTTTTTTTTCTACAGTGTGCTCCCAACTGAATCGAGGCATCACTGCTCTGGTCATTCCTCCGTCTGGCTTTGAAAATAGCTTTAGGACAATTGCCACTTATGCCTCTGCCTTCAAGGTAACACCGACTAAAAGATTCTTCTAGATTGAGTTGCCATTGCTGTCATCGTTCCGCTGCTCAGTTTTCCAAAGCAAAAAAATAATTTTTTTTCATTTTTTTCTTTTCTGGATAGCTTCCTGTCATTTTCACCGAGGCTCGCCACGGCAGCTCTAATGGGTTGCTCATGTCGGGAGTGCCCATGCAGGCAGCACCATTTGCACCGATGGGCGCAGTGGGCACCGGTGGCACTGGCGCTGGCAGTGGCAACTCCTTTGCCAGTGCACTCCACCTAAGCTCTTCATCTGCTTTTGGCCTACATCCTGACTTTACATCCGCCGTGGCAGCGGTAATTAATAAACACTACCGCTGGCCGCACCTCATCTACCTCTATGACTCGGACAATGGTAAGTCTGTGATAGTGAGCCTGCACTTTGCAGCTGAGCTGTCGCGTGATTTATGGCAACAATGGAGAGGAATTTTGATGCTGAGATGATAAAATTGTCAGTTCAGCTTCCTTGTTTGTGTTTTGTGTTTATTCTTTTGCCAATTTTAATTTTGCGCTCAAGTGTTAAATATCTCTAATCAATCGGATTTTTTCAACAAAATCTTAGCTTCAAAATTCAAGCAGATGAGTATGATCGATTGAACAACGCCTTGTCTTTTGTCTGACTTTTTTTTGGGCAAATTAGACAAAGCTTTGTGCAAAGTTTGTGGTANTGTGTGTGTGTGTGTGTGCGTTTGACACTTTGAATTGTCCAGTAGAATGGTGACAATGACCACAGGCACACACAAAGACAGGTGCACTTTCAAGTGTCATTCAATGCTGCTTGTTGTGAGATTGCCAGAAAATGCTTCACTGCAAAGCTTTTCACCAAAAAAAGCACCAGTCAAAAGCAATATTTTTTTCCAACATCTTTCACTGTGAATTTCTCTCATTTGTCCACACATACACAGCTGTTATTTTTCAACATTTCAGCAAAAGTAACAGCGGTTTCACTATTTTATTCATACTTTTTTCATAACGCATGAAAATTGAAATTTGCAAGTATGCCAGTTGATTTGATGCCGCATTCTTCCGGAACACTCGATTTCAGTTTACCATGGTTGCTTTAAATTTAAATTTTGTTTTTATAATCATTTTATACAGTGATAAAAAAATAGCAGAGCATTAAATCGTTGTGGGGCACTTCAAAAATAGTAAATTTACATTTTGCTTAAATGGTTTCGTTTTATGTTTGCCGACCAAAAAATAACAGACCATTCTTACGTTGCAAACGCTTCATTTATCTAGTGTCGGCTAAATGCTTGTTTGATGTTTGAATGTTTTTAGACTTATTTTCATTATTTTCAAAATGAACAATTTGTCTCACTTTAAACTAGCCAACTCTTGAAAATAGTAGGTACCACAAAGCTGGCATTTTTGTAATTATCTTTGCGCAAAACACGTGTTATTTTAAAAAACCCTTCTTTCATTATAGTCGTTTCTATTGTTTGTTATAAAAAAAGCGCAGCATCTCAAAGCAGCAGTGAGAATAATTGACTTGTCAGCGGAACTGTAGACAGTACTGTCTTTTTTTGAATACGTACAATGTAAAGCATCTATAACAGTGGCGATTGGGGACAAATGGCGGCGAGATAAGGAAAGGACATGGCTTGCAAATTTAGTCACTGGAATATGAACACACTAGCCAGTATGCGTGTTCCATTAGGGCAGGTGTGCGAGATGAGGACAAGGACAATGTCGCCAGCACACACACACTGCACACTTCCGCAGTCCTCTTTTGCAGACTACTCTGCTGGTGATATCGATCTACTACTGTGCTACACTTTTTGCCAGTCTCCCCACCACCACCATCACCTCTGCCTCTTGTACGGATTCGTGTTCACTCTTAACACTTCTTTTGAAAGGTAGCCAACTTATTAGTGAGCCTCAAACACACTGCCCATTCTTCGACATACCCAGACACAAACCATTTTTCCTCTTGCTCCTCTAGCAAGTTAATCACAGCCAATCTATTACTCCTTCGCCTTATTGTTGCAAACTGTCAAAAAATTGCAGCCTTCCTATCCTTCCTCTGCTCTACTGCTACTTGCCTTATTATCTTTATCTCGGACAATGTTCTTTTGTTCGACAGACATGTGCTTGTCGCGGAGTACTTTCAGTTTCTCGACAATCGTACTAGACTGGCAGCACTTTTTGACAGGAGCGAATTTAGATTGAACATTTGACAAAATATCTTAAAATTAACTTGTACTTAGGTATTGACCAGTGAAATATGTGATCATGATAAGAAAATGGATGTATTCTTTTAGAGTAGTAGCTGACTTTGAGCACTGCTCAAAGTGTGTTTTTGCCATTATGCGTTCTCTGGCATCCTTTTTGACATCATCAATTTTGTTGCTAGATTATGGCTAACATTTTTTCATTTGAACGAATTCATATCTTGTTTCCGTGAGTGCTCAGTAGAGGCGGCAGACAATGCAAGGTTTTACCTTTTGTTAACACTCACTGCATTTTGCGGTGAATTATAGTTATGAGTGGACACTTTTATTGTTAAGTAATCTCTTCACTACTATTACGCTTGCACTTACACTAATACCTTTTTATGCTACTGTGCAAAAAAATGCAATTTACACATAACATACGAAAATCCTTGTGTATTCTCTTTGCAGGTTTGCAGCGGCTGCAGTCCCTGCTTCACCAGCTGAGCGGAGTCCAGCTAAGAACTGTTCGTCGATTCTCAAACGTGGCAGAGGCGAATGACATTCTACAGCAAATCGAGTACAACGCCAGCATGAGCTACAAGTATGTCCTCCTGGAGACGGACTCTCGCGTAGCACGGGAGATCATTGTAAACCACGTGCGGAACATCTTCATGAGCCGACGGCACTACCACTTTCTGCTGACCTCCCTCGTCATGGAGGACTACTTTGAGCAGGAACTGACGCCGGAGTTTTATGCCCTCAACATAACGGCCTTTCAGATGGAGCGCACCAGCACGGCCACTTACGATCAGAAGCAGCTGAACATCTTCCTGGGCAAGGCTCGCGGTCATCGAATGCAGAGTGGTGGTGGCCAGCAGCAGTCCAATGCCACGTTGCACTCCGCTGACTGTGCCTTCATCTTTGACTCGGTTAAACTGCTGACCAAATCGCTATCTCAAGTGAGCAACCTCAATCGGTACATTCAGCAGCGGGCACAGCATTTAGCGGAGAGCGGTGAGTTTGCAGCCGCCTCCGCCGCCTCCAGTGGCACTTCAAATTGGCAAAACTGTGCTTTTGATGGTTCACAGTTTTCAGCAGTGAGCGGCGGTGAGCAGATTCGCCAGCACATCACCAAGGTTAGAGAGACAAACACACACACAACACGTTTCATGTATCGGCGTGCCATATTTGGAGCCAATTTAAGNGCCGCCTCCAGTGGCACTTCAAATTGGCAAAACTGTGCTTTTGATGGTTCACAGTTTTCAGCAGTGAGAGGCGGTGAGCAGATTCGCCAGCACATCACCAAGGTTAGAGAGACAAACACACACACACAACACGTTTCATCTATCGGTGTGCCATATTTGGAGGCAATTTAAATTAATAATTCATTTATAGGCTGTCGTGAACGGCATTACCGGCCCAATCAGCTTTGATCCGTACGGTAATCGAGAGAACTTCTCCATCGACATTGTCGAAATCACCCTCAATCGAACTGCAGAAAAGGTAAACACTTCAGATTCACTTTGCCTGATTGATTCACTATCACAACCGGTGGTCTCCTCCCTTTAGATTGGTAAATGGAATTTGCGTGAAGGAATTAGCCTGATTCCCGTCAAACGCAAGATGGAAGCCAAGTTCAATCAAACCAACAAGGTTTACTACGTGACAAGTATCCTCGAAGAGCCCTACTTGATGCTGAAAACAGAGGGCGACAATTTAGTGGGCAACAATCGCTTTGAAGGGTACTGCAAGGACCTCGCCGAGCTGATTGCCATTCAGCTGAACATCACCTATGAGATGCACATTGTGAAGGACAAAAAGTACGGCGGCATCATCGCCTCGAACAACACTGATGGAACAAAAGAGTGGAACGGGATGGTGGGCGAGCTGATTCGCCACGAGGCAGACATTGCCATTGCACCGCTCACCATCACCTCAGTTCGAGAGGAGGCCATCGACTTTACCAAGCCATTTATGTCACTGGGCATCTCCATTATGATCAAAAAGCCGCAAAAGAAGAATCCAGGTTTGAAACATTGGAGGACATTTTTCATAGAGCTTATGACATTGTCTTTTGTTTTTAAGGCATCTTCTCCTTTATGGACCCTCTCAGCTCAGAGATCTGGATGTGCATTATCCTCTCCTACGTGGGAGTGTCAGTTGTCCTCTTCATTGTGTCTCGTTTTTCGCCTTACGAGTGGCGCTACGAGGACACTGTTTACGGGCCTCACGTCTCAAATGACTTTTCACTTTACAACTCAATGTGGTTCTCACTGGGAGCACTCATGCAGCAAGGTTGTGATGTCTATCCGAGGTAAAGAAAACTTAAAAACTTATGAAAACATAATTTTACAACTGTAATACTTTTTTTCCTAGATCGGTTGCCGGTCGAATTGTCGGATCAGTTTGGTGGTTCTTTACGCTGATTCTCCTTAGCACATACACCGCCAATTTGGCCGCCTTTCTTACGGTAAACACTGCTGCTGACACGAGTAAACAAGCGCATTTTTAAAACTTTTTACTTACATAGGTTGAGCGAATGGTAGCGCCAATAAACTCTGCCGATGAGTTGGCCAAACAGACTGAGGTTGAATATGGCGTTTTAAAAGATTCCTCCTCGATGGAGTTTTTCAGAGTAAGTTTTGCTGAAAACGAACTTTTTTTTGTAAACAAGCTTGTTTATTTGTTTTGACAGCGCTCTAAGATTACGGTTCACAAGCAAATGTGGGAGTTTATGAATATTCGGAAGAACGTTTTTGTCGATAGTAAGTGTTGACAAAGTAATAAAGATGATATTGTAAAGATGCTTTCTTTTTATACACAGGTTACAAGGAAGGCATCAGACGAGTTCGGGAATCTAAAGGAAAATATGCCTTTTTGATTGAGAGCACTCACAACAATTACATCAACGAGCAGTTGCCCTGTGACACACTAAAAGTGGGTAGGAATCTAGATGCCAAAGGATATGGCGTCGCCACGCCACGAGGGTCTCCCATTCGGTAAGTGAAAACACTGGCCCTATGAAACTTGTTTGTAAAACTTATCATTTGCTAGAGAAAAACTGAACTTGGCAGTTTTGTTTTTAATTGAAAACGGCGATCTGACACGTCTCGAAAATAAATGGTGGTACGACAGGAGTGAGTGCAAGGCTCGAGAGGCAAAGGAGACCATTCAGAATGCACTGACGCTCAACAATGTGGCGGGTTGTTTTTACATCCTAATCGGCGGTCTCTTGGTGGCGATGATTGTCGCCTTGGTGGAGTTTGCTGCCAAAGCCAAACACGATTCGTTGCGTTTCAACGTAAGAATTATCTAAAGGTCACTTTTTTATTACTGATTTGTAACCCTTCAATTTCAGCTCTCAACGATAGACGCTATGAAGTCTATTCTCAATATATCCATAACTGGAAAGCCGACCAAGAACATTAGAGACATGCAACTAAGGGTAATTTAGTATTTTTTGTTTGTTTGTGTTAATCTCAGATTTACTAAACCATTTTTTTGCAGAACAATATGGAAAATGAGAACAACTACGAAATCACCGACGGCGGTGAAGAGCACTTTGAAGATGTGCAATATCATTAGGCATTTTGTTGTTTTGTCACCTGAACACTACTTTTCGCACAAATTGTATCTACAAGAAAGCTAATTTTACTGTTAACCAGCAGAGTGTGTCGCATAAAACTAAAACGTTTTATTGTACCATTGGGTGTATGCATTTTGTAATAATTTAAAAAGTCTTCAGCTAGAAGAAGCGACACTGCAGTGAAAGTGTGAAAGTGCAAAGTTGATTGTGTCAGGCTTCGAATTCATGTTCATACTCCTCGATGTAGTCGAGAATGATAAACTGTGGCAGTCGTTTGGTGATGCTGTTCATCGTGTGCTCCTGCCAGACACTACACAGCTTCTGGTTACCCTCACGACACTGCAGCTCAAACTGAGCCAGCTGTTCGAGAAAGCCCAAGTTTGGGTTGATCACTGAGCGTCTTTGCTTCACAAAGCGGAACGCCTGCTCCAGCGACATCTGATGGTAGCGCATCAGGTAAGCTGGTGGAGCAGGAAAAAGAAGAAGGTCAGATAATGTCGTAACCAATACAGCACAGAAAACACACACCGAGAACAAAAGAGGCACTGCGACTAACGCCGACCATGCAGTGCACCACCGCTGCGCCTTTGCCCTTCAGGTGGACCTCCTCCAGCTTGGCGGTGACCTCATCAAAGTAGGCGCTGATGTTTTCTTTTTTGTCGTCCTGTACCTGCATTACAAAGCAAACAAATCAGGTAAAGCACAGGTTGCTGTTGTGTAAACTTACGGGAACTCGGTAGCTCTCTGCTCCCTCGAGAACAAAGCGCGGCGCCTCGACGGTGACGTTGATCATGAGGTGGACGGGCAGTTTGAATGACTGCTTAAATCGCTCGACGACCAGTCCGCCCACACCGGTCAGGCCGAGGTACTCAGTGACCACGGACACCTGATTGAAGGGCTCGGAGAGCAGTGTGCGCAGTCGGGTGGGCGTGCGCGGATTGGCCACCTTCATCTCCTGTTCGGCGNATGCAGTGCACCACCGCTGCGCCTTTGCCCTTCAGGTGGACCTCCTCCAGCTTGGCGGTGACCTCATCAAAGTAGGCGCTGATGTTTTCTTTTTTGTCGTCCTGTACCTGCATTACAAAGCAAACAAATCAGGTAAAGCACAGGTTGCTGCTATGTAAACTTACGGGAACTCGGTAGCTCTCTGCTCCCTCGAGAACAAAGCGCGGCGCCTCGACGGTGACGTTGATCATGAGGTGGACGGGCAGTTTGAATGACTGCTTAAATCGCTCGACGACCAGTCCGCCCACACCGGTCAGGCCGAGGTACTCAGTGACCACGGACACCTGATTGAAGGGCTCAGAGAGCAGTGTGCGCAGTCGGGTGGGCGTGCGCGGATTGGCTACCTTCATCTCTTGTTCGGCAACGGTGAGCATCAGCGGCGCTGAGCCTGGTGTGATTCGCGTCCCGTCAATTGCCTTGTCCGCCTGTTGGGCACGCTCCAGCAGCCCTGGACCAGGACGCAGAAGGTCCACTCGTCGCTGGCGTTCAGTGCGAGTGCCCTGGCTGCCTGGCGTGCCTGTTTGGTTCCGCTTGTTGGGCATGCTAAAATGATGATGGTGGAATTTGGTGAATGATGACCGTTGCTTAAAAAATGACTGTTGTAGCAGTGAGTCGCTATTGTAAAGCCATTGAACTAAAAGTAGTTCTTTATTCGAAATATTCGTGTCGTTTATTTGTACAAAAAACAATAAAATGAGCTGTAGTATTAAAACAGTTTTTCAGTGTTGTTTTGGATTCAACAACTTTACTTTTGACAACGTTCACAAATCTGTGAGTATTTTTAAGTTTTTTTTGTATACTTTTATTTACTTTTAAATTAAGCATTTTTTTATTTTTTTTAAATTAAAGTAAAAATGAAAGAATTTGATAAGATGGCTAGTTTGCTTGAAAACGTACCGGCAAAACTTCACGATGCCACTGTTTCAGCTGCAAATAGTTTTCACAATGCAGTTCTATGGACGCTTAAGAAAATCTGGTCTATTCCTGAAGATCAGCGTTCTAATAACGGTTTCACAGAACATTCAGCCGTCCCCATCATTGGCTTTCTTTTTCTCCTCATGGTCACTCTTCTGATCTGCTGCATTGCTTGCTACTGTTTCAATAACTGCCGCGAACCGAAGGCGTCTTCAAGAGATCGTAAAAAAAAGTTCACTTCAGGGTTGGGCAAAGGTGGTGGTCCAGCCATTAGTCCAGTCACCACTACTTCTGCCTCTACTGCATCCTCTTCTAAATCAGACTTTTCTGCTTACGTCGGTGTCGGTGGTGGTGGTCAAGGAAAGACGTCTGTCGCCACCAGTGGATTTGGCGGCACATCAGTGAACCCGTCTTCGGCAGCACCAGTGGGCAACAACTTAGCTGCTGCAGCTGGAAAAGGTTAATGCTGTCAAGTTTTTGGCAACAAAAACCTCTTCCAAGACTTTTGCGAATCAGTGAGGCAGCAATCTGAATGCTGGGCCTTTCACTTGCAAATCTCCACTGCTTTTTAACTGTTTGCTTTCTTGCATTTTAT